ATAAATATTTATGTATTTATTTCTACATATATAAAATAAGAAATATGTTAAATTTTATTTTAATTACAAATAGAGGGTAAAGTAGCCTAGTCTTATTTGCTCTTGTACAGATTCCCCCAGCAAATGGGCAAGCTGCAGCCATTCAGGCTCTCCCTACAGACTGGCTTATATATGATGAAATGACGAGAGCTCACAGGATAGCAAATATCAGATGCTGTTCTGTTGTAACACCTGTCACTGTGTCACTGTTCTGTGGATCAGCTAGATTACCAAGTAATGCTTTGCAGGAACCTTCATCCTTCCGAGGTATAGTGGGGTTTGGATTTGGAATGTGTCCATTTGTGTATGTACTAGTATGTGATATGGAAGGCTTATTTTTTCAAAAATATTTAATACGTATATTGGCTAATTCTTAAAATGACAGAGCTATAGTTCCTGTAGCTGCTCAAGAATAGTTTATTGGCTCTGCAATAAATGTCTCAGTTTTGTGAATCCTTATAGATTCATATCCATAAATTACACTTCCATAGTTCTGAAGTCTCAGAAATTACAGTATCATTTTTAATGAAATAAAAAATGCCAACAAAATGTCTATAAACAATACTAATGCTGAAAAGTGTAGTATGTATGTTTTTCATACAGACTAGTTTATCTGATACTTTGAACCAGATTATTCAAACTGAATAATAGTTTAGAAACTTATCAATATGGCAGATACTCACATTGCTTCTAGCTGAAACATGCCTTTTAAAGACTATTTTGTACTGATAGCTTTTAATGACAATTAGCTGTACTATTAACTAGAAGGAACTATAAGGAATATATAGAAATTTCCTTTTTTTTATTTAAATGGAGTGTTGTGGGAATAGAAGCAAAAATAATCTATCCTGCTGCCAGTGTTCTAGAAATACTAGTTTGAATCAAAGTAAGAGTCCAAGTTATTTTTGAGGCTTTCCTGTCTTGCTCTTAAACTGTTAGCCTTAAAATAGTGTTTATGCTGATTGAATTGCTCTTAAAAAAATTAGAATCCTACTTAGTAGCCATATGTATATATAATTTATTTTTTTCTTAATGGGTCTTTAAATCTGCTGTTTTACTAGGAAATAAAGCATAGAGCGATGTGTGGTTTTGCAAGCAGGTTCAGGCAAAAGTTTAGTAATGGCTTATTGATATTGATGAAGGTACATGAGTGAATCAGATCACATCAATACAGGTTCTTATGTAGCAGGGGCCTCAGCAGGCCTGGATATGTGAGTTCTGCTAACTGAACTGAAGCAAAGACTTTTCACTGAGGTGTATTTGCAGAAAATAAAAATTGGTTTTACAAATGTTTACATTTAAAAATACAATTTAGAATGAAAATCAGTTTATTGCTGGTAATACAGTAGTGTTCAGTCTTTTGTATGTAAGTGGAAACAATATAGAAATGTTAATGCACCTTTTATATTTAATTCAGGGGATGGGGTATCGAACGATAACAGTGATAGTGAGATGGAGGACAAAACAACTGCTAATTTGGCATTACTGAAGCTAGATGAATGGCTCCATCTCAAACTGGACCCTGAAGTAAGTAATGTGTCACTTCAATGCTTATTTTTTGTAGCAGGATATTTATGTCATATCTTCCTAAAAAGATTTCGGAAACATTTGGGTAACCAAGAATTTGCTGTAAGAATTGCTGTCATGGTCCGTTTGGGTCTCTTGAGTTTACATGACAACGTAGTCTATGATCTAACCTTTATTTCAGGAGCTCATTAAGAAATACAGTGAGCAAACAGGGTCTCAGTCCCCTTTTGTCTGGACTAGTCTATCACATGAATTCACTTATTCACCATTCAAGTCGTAAGGTTTCATAACTTATAACCTGTAACTCTCAATTCATGCACCTATGAGTAAAAAAGAAAAAAAGAATTAGTTACCTAGCCGACAGTGAGACTGCTCATTGTTCTTCCTCTGTCACGGTGCGGGTGTCCCCTGTATCACATCAGGAAGCAGAAAAGCCTCGGCAGTCCAGCTGCTGTTGGGTATCCACTTCAAAAGCTTTTTGGGTAAGCTGTGCTTTACATCTTCCAGCTTGGAGGTTTGGTCCATTTCCATAAATCAGCAGATTCTGATGAAACTGCCAGACAAAAGATAATGGCTGCAAGAGACAGCAAGCTTTAGGTGATAGAGGCTGCATAATGGCCCCTCAGCTTTTCCTTGCCACCTGTCCTGCCTATGTGGAGCTCTCGCTTTGACCTAATGGCACTGCTCCCAGCACACATCAAGCCTTAGCATGAGCTGGATTAGCCAAAATCTGAGCAGGAGTTTGAGTGAACAGTCACAATGGCATATTGTGTATTTCCTTCTCTGAGAGGATGACTAAAGTTGGATCAAAATGGAGCATTTGAAATTGGAGTTGCTGAAAGAAAGTTGCTGTCAGATTTTAGAAACAGGAAAAAAAAAAAACCTTTTGAAGACGGATGTCTTCAGGTCATTGAGAAGCTCTGGCTGTGGCAGGAGGTAGAGTAGTTTATGGGTTATGAAACACTTGGTCTTATCAGATCTAGCAGTAATACTGTCTCTTCTAGAGATGTTCAGAAGGGTGTTTTTTAAAAAGTGGAAGTATTTCTGATAACATGGGAATTAAACTATAGTCTTCTAAATTCAGTCATCTCATTTGAGCAGAAGTCTGCGTAAGAAGAATGTGTCACTTAGAGCTCTTTTCCCTCAGGTATGAATGAAGAGTACATAAATACAGACTGAATTGAGAGGAAGGGCAAAAAGTGTGAGAAGATTTTTTTTTTTTTTTAAAAAGATAAAATTTTAAAGTGAAAAATAAAAATCTTGTGGGTTTACAATATAATTTTAAGTTTGGTTGGTGCAGAGCTAAATGAAATAAGACATTTTAAAAATGATTGTGCACCCCAGGAAAGAAAAGATAACTTAACAGCTTAATTTAAATATGGGGTTTTCTCCCCCTTCCCCAGCACTTTAGTCTCAGCTTTCAGTTCGGACCCTGTTGATTTTAGAATGCCAGATGCTGCCTCATAGGAAAGACATAGGGTACCCTTACCTGTCTAATGTGATTTTTATTAGTCTTTTAACAGAATTTAAATTCATTACAGGCTGCTGGTTTGCTGTTGCAACTCAGACAGAAGTGGCATAGCTTATTTCTGCGTCGTATGCGAGCTCCTTCTAAACCGTGGTCTCAAGTTGATGAAACAACTGTAAGAGCAATTATAGCTGTTTTAAGTACTGAAGAACAGGCTGCAGGTTTGCAGCAGCCTTCAGGAATTGGTCAGAGACCAAGACCTATGACTTCTGAAGAACTTCCTTTAGCATCTACATGGAGGTCAACCAACAGCAGAAAAAGCTCAGCAGAAACTGAATTCTCTGATGACTCTTCTAATGCTGAAAAGTAAGCTTTTGAGATCTTCAAGAGACTGCAGGTTGTAATTTATTTAGCTATAAAAGCATCACTTGAATTTCTGCTAGTAATAAAAAGGAAACAATAGAAATACAGTTGAAGGAACTGATACTGTCAATTGCTGTGTTGTAGTTGTGATCTGACTGAGAAGTATTTCATATGTGTGCCTGCTGTTTGAGAGACCAGTCAGGAATATTGTCTGTGAATTGTGATCTCTGGGAAGAAGTAGCAGAGGAGGTTTAACCCTAGTGTTCAAAAACAATGCATGATCAGTATTTTTTTAGTTAGTGTTTAATATGTTTTGGAATTACTGTAATATACTTAGTCATGCAATAATGTGATATGAAGATACAAATTGTTCTGTGATCACTTACAAAACTGCTGGTATGTCCTGTACCTGCCTTTACTACTTAGAGTTTTAGTGAAATCTACGCCTCCCGCACTTCACCAGCCAAAGAAGTACAAAGAAAAAACCATTTTGCACTCCAAACGAACTTCAGATGACAAGTCAGATCAATCATCAGTGAAGTCTACAGACAGCAGTAGCTATCCTAGCCCCTGTGCTAGTCCTTCTTCTCCAATATCTGGAAAGGTAGGGTTCTCATAAACAAATTACCCAGCTCTTCAAAATTAATAGAATTTCAGAGATAAATTTGCTGATACCTTTCAGCAGCTATTAGGCATTATTTTGATAAATTAAGAACCTAACTTAGATTTTAATTTTTAACAGCTGTGCAATACTTGTTTCTGGAACTTAAAATCTAGACTGAATATCCTTGTACGCTAGTTTAATACAATAAAAATATTATTCTGTGCAGACTGCTGAGGTAAAGCTATCCAAAGTAGAAAAAATTGTTGGGTTTTTCTTTAAACTTGATACAATAACCAGTGAAGGTGCATTTTTTACTTTTTTCCCCTAAATTAGTATACGGTATATGCACTTCTGAATTCTTTGCATTCTGCTTTCCTTGGTTTCTGTGATAGCATACATTGATACTGATTTTCTTTAAGTTTTGTGTTATCTCCCTTATTATGACTGCTTGCTTTTTTTATGATGGTTATTTTAATAAAGCACACATTTTTAATGAGCTTGTTGGCATAATTCTTCCTATGTACTTGAATAGTAAACTGCAGTAATATTAAACATATCACTGAGAGGAAAACCCATTGTTCCCTTAGGCACGGACTCATTGGAGGATTTAATAATTCCTCTTAAGTTTTCAGTTTTTAAATTTGGCCAATGTAAAAGGGAGAAAACTTGACATTTCCTGAAGGTGGAAATATGAGTAGTGTCCTTCAGGCTGCAGTCTAGAATGATTAATTTTGTGTCATCTGAAGGTGTGTCAAGACTTCAAAGAATTGTAATTAATCATGAGACTATTTAGGCCTGTTCTGCTATACTTCTTTGCTGACCCTCATGAACGAATTATTATTTTATGAAGTGCTTAAAAAACATAAAGTAGATGTGAAATACATTTCAAAAACAATTCAGACAGTACCAGCTGATAGATTCTGTGTTTCTTGTAGAATCTGGGGAAGGAGGATAGGAGCGCAGTCAAGGGTTTTCTGTCTTCATGTGTGTAAAACTTTAGAACTAAAGCTTGGCTGATTTTATTGTAGCTTAATTTAATTTAACTTTTTCAGGGTTCCAAATCGCCTTCACCAAGACCAAATATGCCAGTTCGGTACTTTATAATGAAAAGTAGCAACTTGCAAAACATTGATATTTCTCAACAGAAGGGTATATGGTCTACTACGCCAAGTAATGAACGAAAACTAAATAGAGCCTTTTGGGAGAGCAGCATGGTTTACTTAATATTTTCTGTTCAAGGGTCTGGACACTTTCAGGTGAGTCCTTACTTAATACTAAATATTAGCTTTCGTTGATGGTTTAGGAGAGCGCAGCAAATGACTGTGTAGTATGGAGGTTTTTGCTTATGACTTCTGACCTTCTAATAGGTAGAGTAGCAAGCAAATATATC